TGAACATAAATTTCTGAATTGATGCCAATATTTGATAAGTTAAAGTATATAATAGAGAGGTATATGTATGTTGACTTTCAACATATGAGAAGTTGTATTGAAAAATGGTAGAGGATTTCAAAGTTGATTTTTCAATAGTTGGGAAGGTACATTGTGGAATAGTGGAGAGGGTAGATCATCATATTTCAGTACATAAAAAAGAATGTAAAATGCTTACAATTATCAAAGTTCATATTTCAGCATGTACCTTATGGTACATAATAACGAAATATATCAAGGTTGATATTTTAGTATATGATAAGTGGTGTTGCAGCATATAAGTTATGAAAGTCAATGTGAAGAATCAATAGGATAACAGTGGATTAAGATTGTTCAAAATTCTATGCAATTTCTGATTTTATACTTGATTGCACTCACCAATTGGGTCAAACCATGTTGTCTGCCCATAAGATGATTCACTTGGTGCAATAAAGCAAAGGCACATATCTAACAACAAGGAATCTCAGATACTTCAGGGACTTTGTCTAAGGTTCATAGTGTATTTTTAAAATTTTACTGGCAATTTAATTATAATGTTATATAAATTACATTTATATCCTTATTTGGTACATTTGTTACTGTGGGTATTAGAAAACCTCCTTATCATGTAAATCAGTTCATGAATCAACTCCCTTCCTAAAAATGTAAAGGGACATGAGATTATAAATGATCAAGAAGTCTTATAAAACTTTAGCGAGAATTAGAAAACTTTTTTCCCAACATTTTCTGTATATGCAACATAAACTTGGTATTGTAAAACTATTATTTTACTTTTTTTCTAGTTACTAATATTATCCTAAGTGAAAATATATCAAAGTTGATATTAATAAAATAAGTTGCATTCTGAAATACCAAAGTAATTATATCAATCTTGTTATCTCTAGAGATGAGGATTACATTGCAAGCTAAAAGAGTGCACCAAGCTTAATATTTCAATGCATGCAAGCTACATTGCATGGTGCAAGTGTTGGAGTTAGGAGTGGAATGAAAAAAATAAGTTGCATTTATTTATATTTCAAAAATGAAAATACATAATGAAATAGTAGAGTACATTTGGGTTGATATTTGAATGTATGATGTTTATATAGTACAATAATTGCATGTATCAAGTTAAATGTAAATGCATAAGAAATAATATCATTGACTAAAAAAGTACATAAAATTTAACATCTTAGTACATGAAAATTATGTTAAAATACATAGGTAAACTGAGCATTACCTAAATAACTTAATGTAGAAAGTGCAATATTTTAGTATAGAAGAATTCAGATGTCTAATAGTACAATATATGAAGCAAAATATCTCATTATATATAATTTAATAAATCATGCAATATATAAATAGCTTTATGTATCCACTTCAATATTTAAGTGCATGTGACATGTTATGAAATTACATAATCTATCAACTAAAATATCATAATATATGTAATTTAATTCATGACATAAAATTAGCATAATAATATTTGATCTTAGCATCACATTTTTAGTAGAAAAACCTCAAAGTTCAAAACCCAAAAAAGATTGGCAAAATGTGGTGTAATGAATAGAAGTTATTCATTTTATGTTTGAAGGTTACTATTGGAATTAAAAAGACTAGGAGTTTCTTGCTATTGAAGAGTAAATGAGTTAAGGCAAATTTTCCATAAATAAGAGAAAATTTCAAATTTAAAGATAAGAGAGGGGACAACTGCAAGCAAACACAAAACTTTCAATTCAAAGGCTCAAGAAAATGTATCATTTAGAAGAAATGTATACTCAAGGTTGTGACATGTCTATTGGGGATTGGAGTGTCCTTATCCCCTCTTGTTGCATTGTAAAAGTCTAATGCAAAATAAGACACAAGAGAGGGAGAGGAAGAGAATTGTAAGAATAAGGAAGACACAATATTTATGTCGTTCAGAAAAACATCTTACATTTACATTTTCACACATATCAAGCTTCCTTCTAGAGATTGTTCCTTATAACCCTTGGATGCTAAAAACCCCTATCACACCTTGATCTCATGAGATGTCAGTGACCCCCCTCTTAAACATAATATTAGGGTAAAACTGCGTAGGGACAACAAACAAATATACCCCTAATCACATGAGTTGGATTTGTGTGCTTGTCAAATACCCCATTAGCACCTAATCAAACCCAATAGGAGATCAATATCCACAACTCCAACAGTCTCTCAAAAATGTCAACATTTCCAAATTAAATCTCTATCTATAATCTTCCTAAGTATCAAGCACTTCAAATTCTAGGCCAATACATCACACTAAGTGTACACCATGGGTTGTGAGGTTTAGGTTAATATTCCTTGATACTATTTAGTTTATATTGGTAGAATTATATGAATAGTTACGTGCTGTAGACAAGTATTTCTAGAGCATTGAATCCAGAATCATAATCTAGCATAAAAATCTAAATGTTTGGCCACCTAAAGATTTGAATTCAGAAGTTGTGTGTGTCGCTTTAGTGGTTTTCAAGCACTTATGCATGAATGTGCACATAATAGATGAAGCGTAAAACATTGTAGCAAAAATGTGGTATTGCATTGTCCATTTTTTATAATCTTTCTCCCTAACAAATGAGTCAAGGTGAGACATTTCATCTCTTATAGAACTAGCAAAAAAAACCAATGAATGAAAAATTTATGTGTGCCTTTTTTGGTCATTAATAAACAATATATTTAGTATTTTTATTGAAAGAGAATTAATAAAATAATAAAAAAGAAGATTCTACATTACAATGATCAAGAAGAGTGGAAGGAAGTCAAAGGAGCCAATAAGCAAACCTACAATTCAAAGGAAATGTTAAGGAGGATTTGACTCATTTTGAGATCTATAATTCACATTCTCAAGCTAAGTTGGACCCATTAATCTAAAAGAGCTTACCCTAGTATTGATCTGATTTGGCCTACCTAGAAGCTAACTATTATTCTAGGAAATTAGTCAAGTGCTAATCTATTTCTACACTTAAGAGTTATGAATCTAGAAAAGGTGCTTGAGGAATACTTGGGTTGACTCCTTGAAACCTAGTTAATCCCTAACTAAAATATTTCTCTACATCCTACCTATTAATAATATGTGATGTGCCCAAAATCATTGTTAATTTAAGTACTCAAATTTAATATTTATAACTGAAAATCTAAATAAAATCTCTTTAATTATAAAGATTTCAAGTTGATCCTTAAGGAAATCATAATATTGAAAACATCATTTTAATATAGAATGTGTGATAAAATAGGAATAAAATAATAGTTTTTACAAATTATGAACCCCAAAAGTATTCAACTCTAAAAATTAGGAAAAACTCAGAAAAATATGAATGATTAACTCTAATTTAATATCCTTAAAAACTATCTGGTAACAAGATTATTAGAGGTCAAAAATCAAAAATCAAGAACATAAAAAAAGTAGTGAAAATAGTTATTTTAAAATTTAGAAATCAAAATTGGACTTATTCCAAAATTATGAAAATCTTATAGAAGATAATAAACTAATTATGCTACGGTTTACCAAAATAAATTAACCTCATTCTATGTGGCGCTTGTGAAATCAAATTCATTATAAGGAAAGGTCAAAAATACAAAAAATAGAGAAAATAATTCTTGTAAAATCTAAAAAATATATTCTAAAACCATTCTAAACTAGCAAAAAAATTATAGAAGATAATAAAACAGTTATACTACATTTTCTCCAAAGATATTAACCTAATTCCATGTGACACTCATGAAATCAGATTCAACCAAGGAAAGGTTGAACCAAGAAATTCAAAAAATGATTTTCAATGCCCAAGGAAAGGTTTTTATCAACAATGCTAGGCGATTGCCATAAATGGACATCCATAAGAGTCATTTAATCAGTGGCAATGACCAAGCTCTGTCCGTGGGCAGATGGAATCATCATAGGGTCATCTTATTCTTCATCATCATCATCTTCTTCTTCTTCTTCTTCCAAAGATTCACCTAAATTTAATGGCCGACTGTCTTTCTTGAGTTTCCATCCAGGTCTTCCCATGTTCCTACGCCCCTTCTATGCCTGACAAGGGTCCAAGCCATGATGCTTTAAGGAAACCTAAAAGTAGGTATTTGATCCGAGAGCACGTGAAGATCATTGAACCCCACACAGGTGTCCCGGTGAATTATGCTCATTAATTAAAGGTACCTTCCTCTCACAACGCAAGTTGCAACTTTCATTGATTGACCAAAGACGTGCAAACTAGCCGAAAAATCTCTCCCTACAGTGCAACTATGTGGCTCGTCAACAAAGTTACGCAATTTCTGTCTCTGGCCCCCTCTACCTTGGAGAAGAGAAAGTAGAGGGGGCCAGAGACAGAGACAGACAGAGGGAGAGATGTGATTTCTCATCATCCTAAACCACCCTACACTATCATCAATATTTTAACGATAGCCCATGACATAAAATTTAATACGTCTTAGGCTGTAAGTTTCCTTCCTCGCCATGCATGAAGATGACCCATATATGACCCATTAAAATTGATGTTTTGTTACTAGGAGATATCATGCGTCAAACCCATCATGCGTGGGAAAGGAGATAGACATATATATGTATGCAGAGGGGAGAGAGAGAGAGAGAGAGAGAGAGAGAGAGAGAGAGAGAGAGCTTAATCCATATAATTCACTACCGAGAATCGGACTTTGACTGGCGGTAAATAATGGGAAGTTTCTGTTTCTGATATTTTTCTCCTCTTCCAGTCAAATGACAGCAGAAATTCGCATTTTGCCTCTTTAATGGTAAACTTTCTTGTACAACAGGAAGAAAACAAGAAAATGTGTGAAGAAAGAAGAAATAACGCTCTTATAACCAGGTTTGGAATCATACAAGGAAGGTTTTAAAGTATAGTGAGACGGGGCCGAGAGAGAGAGAGAGAGAGAGAGAGAGAGAGAGAGAGATCATGACTGTAGTTTGACCATAGGAAAACAAGAAAAGACAGAAAATAGACCTAGAGACGTTATTTGGCTTCCCCGAAGGAATGCTTCGCCCAGTCAAACCTCCTGAAGACATCCATGGCGTCTTCTTCCTCCCCCTCGCCGATCAGCTTGTCCTCCACAAACTCCTTCGAGAAGACAAGGCTCATGGTGTCCTCCCCCAGCTCACCCAACTCGGCAAAGAAATCCTCCGTCCAACTCAACTCCGGCGGCACCGTCTCTCCGCTCCGATGGAGAGCCTCTGCGGCCTCCGGCGACTCAGCTTTCGCCGCCGCCGGTGCACCGGCCGAGCCTGGTGAGGCCACCTTCCGGGCCGGAGAGCTGCTCTTCTGAGTAGGTAAGGGGTGGTTGTGCTCGCACGTGTAGGTGACTATCAGCATGCTTGGGTCGGTCTTGCTCCTCTCCACTTGCTTTCTCGCCGAGCAACCTTTCGAGCTGCTGCACCTGTAGTAACCCCTGAATCAAAACAACAGGTCAACTTCTGCCAATTTTTGTTGAATTTATCATTTGGATGATTGAATCCCACAAAATAATGCGAAATTAGCCGATGGCTAGTTCATTTGGAAACTCAAAAACTGATTGATAATGGGCGTATAATAGCCAAATGTTTAATGACATCATTCAAAGATTTTCCTTTATATAATTTTCCCTAGATAATCATGAATAACAGGTTAAAAATACTACAATGCACCTTAAAGGTAAAAAAAATTATATATTTAGTCAGACAAAGATGTAAAAAGTACTTTCTTCAATCAGAGGTGCTTTGACCCTCCAATTAAAAATTAATTGTTAATCAAGCACAGATGCAGGTAGGTTTTACCCTAGTATGTTACATGTTTAAAACAACTATCTAAGGCTTTGACTCTTTAAATTTTATCTCATCGAAGCCACAACCAATTTCATTTGGTAATACTTGAATTATCCCGAATAAAAACAATAGGACCCGATTTACTTTCATAATGTTAGACTATTTTTATAAATAGACTCTCTCATGTTTAAGGAAACTAGTACAATTTGCTATGCAATCAATAAAATTGATGTATGAGCTTGTCAAGACCAACTATCACCTTTAATACTGAACACTATGCCAGACAATTCACCTCTGAGTTGAGGATTATTCCGACAGTTGTTTTAACCAGCCAACTAATTGGAACATTGATATTATGCTTTTTCCTCTACATTGGTAATTTAACCATGGAATGTCAGGTCATGATGAAACCATATGGCTTGGTACTATGTTAAGGAATTAGAATGTCCAACTTGAGAATATTTGGCAATGACTCAAATAAGATCATACAGTAAATCAGATTATTTAAGACTATCCTAGGAGCATTTACCATGATTTCTTCAATTATTAGCGAGGATAAAGAAGATGATCCTTCTGTGTTGGAAGAATGATAGAGATTTACCTTGGATAAGGAGAGCCCTTGATGGGTTTCTGGCCATACTTTCTCCAAGACCAGGAATCGGATGGAACCATCTCTCCACCAGGCTTGCCACCGGCAGCGTCCGGTGCCGGGACACAGACCACCTTCTTGGTCTGGTTCTTCCTGTGAAGAGGAGAAATGAACGTTAGAAATCCTGCCAACAAGGAGGAGAACCAAAGGAAATACGATATATCTATATACATGCACATTAAAAACTAGATAGAGAGAAAGACAGAGATGAGAGATGTCGGTCAGTTAGGCAGCCAAAGTTTGATATAATTGCCACACGGCGAAAGGCTAGAACTTGTGGCCTGTAATGTCTTCTGAGTACAGAGCTTGTATGTGGGCTTCATCAGTATTCAACTGTTTCTATGTTTTCCCATTCCACGAAAACTAGCTCTGTAGGAGATGTGTTATCCTTTCTATCTGGCATCGCTCTACTTGGTTCCTGCAACTCTACGCTATAAAAAAAATCGTAAAATTTGCCAAATCACCTATGCGAAAAGGACTGGGATCGCCTTTGAATTCATCTGAAACTTTATCTCGATTCTAGAGAGCGAAGGGAAGAATTTTTTTGAGCAATTCGGAAGAGCGAGGCTAAGACGACGATAAAGAGAAATTTATGATCCAGCCTAGAAATGGAAATCAACCTTTTCTTAAAGCCGGCGTCTCGAGTAGAAGATATCTGGTTCCTGGCTTGGGCGGCGGCGGCAGCGGCGGCGCCGACGCCGCTCTCTCCGGACGCGATCTCTCCGCCGTTGAAGAAAGTCGTGCTGACCAATTCGTGAAGCGTCGGCTGCTTAAAGACTGGGAAAGGGTGACCGAGGCTATCCGTTGACGGTCCAGCTCGCGGCGGATGCCCCCAGGTGGAAGCGATCATCTTGTGGGGGGCTGGGGGTGCACGAAGGCGGCCGCTGGGATCTCCTTGGTGGGTCTGTGTGAACTCCCCGAAGTAGCTGCCCATTGCGTTTGACGATGTGCTTTAGGGAGAGAAGGTGGGGATGGAGGTGAAGGTTTCGATTGGTATGAAGAGACGAAATACAGAATTTGAAGCTGCTTGTATTGTCATAGGCGTTCTCTCTCTCTCTCTCTCTCTCTCTCTGAGTCACATATGGGGGAGAGGAGAAACAACAGTCTTCCCTTCTCTCTCTCTCCCTCTCTCTCGGAATCACATAAGGGAAGAGAACAAACCGCAGGCTCTGCTGAATTACAGATCTCCCTCTCTAGCTCCCTCCCTCTCTTCGTCTCTCTCTATCTATCTGAACTGCGCAAGGGAAATGAAAAAATTACACGCTGTTTTGAAGAAAGTAGATCTCTGTCCCTTTTTCGTGAAATCTGGGAGAGGAAGAAGCTCAGGAACAACATCGATCCCTCCCCGCGTCCCTGCCTCTCTCCATCTGTCAAAATGACGCAAGGGAAGAGATGAAACGACATCATCTTCTTAAATACTGACAATTGCGCCGCCCCCCCGGGGCTCTCTCTCTCTCTCTAGAAGAGAGAGAACGCGTGCGTGTGTTTCTTTCCCACCTCGCTGACTTTTTCATGACAGGTTCTTCTGTACACGCCAAGAGTAAATAAATCTGCTTATTATATATATAAGGAGAGATATAAGGAGAGAGAGAGAGAGAGAGAGAGAGAGAGAGAGATAGAGCGAGAGAGGAAGAGAGAGGGGGTTGGAGGGATCGCAGTACTATTTTCCGGCGGTTTCTAGACTCATTCCTCACATTCCCCTAGCCCACCAAATGCCATAGTGATTCTTGAAGGACTACCAGTGCCTTTCGTCCCCAATCCCAGCTAAAACCCGCTTGCTGCTAAGCCTATCAAAGGATACTATCATTTTGAAGCATTCTGCACCAGTCACTTTGAAGCCTTGGCCCAGCACCGCACTCCGCAGGTACCTCCCTAGAAGAGAGAGAGAGAGAGCGAGAGAGAGAGAGAGAGAGAGAGACGGAGGCAGAGTTCCTTAGGACGGCAACTCATACGATGAGCCCCCCAACGGCAACTCTTCCTTGCGCGAGATGATGCGCGAATATTCTTCGGGCTTGCTCCATGTGACGACATATGCGCCCCTTTTTAATTACACTGCAACCGTCCGCCATCGCTGGTGTTAGAATAACAGGAGATCAAGCCCACCAAGCCTCCATCCTGCAGAAAAAGATGTCGTCATTTGGACGGGGGTAATCCCAGACTCTACCTCAGCATTGTCGCCACAAGGCTGTTCAACCATTGTCTACGTCAGAGCCCATCTCTCCTCTCCTCTCTCTCATGCAGGGACCCAGAAAGCACTGCGTCATCGTCATGCATTTAAAAGGCATGGCGTAGAACTCATCTTCCGAGAGCTTTCTCAGGGTGTCTGGGGCGCATCCAGGCCTGGATACACGTTGAGTTGTGAAAAGCCTGGACCCACATCGCTCTGAGCTGGCCTGCTGACACCCTTACGCCTTCTGTTGTGAAAGGCCAATAATATGATAATATATACCTTGAATGATATTTTAAAAAATAGAAAAAAGTGTTTTAAAATTCTAACTTCACTGGATTTATTAGAAATAGTTTTTAAAAAATTACCATGATTGTGCGAACAACTAAGTACGTATTGTGCCTCTTTGGACACCTATTTTGGAAACTAACAATTTTTGTACTGAATTTCCATAAAATATTTTATACCTTTTCTTCCATTTTAATGCCCTGCCGTTGAAGGCTTTGGCCTTTGAGGTGAGCTCGTTCTTGGTGGTTTTTCCACGAGTAATTTTGGATCAAATTACCCACTTACCAGTAAAAAAAAAAAATGCCCTGATTTTCAAGAACATAATCGTTGAAAAAACAGTAGAATTTTTTTAAAAAAGAAATTCTTCGAACCTTCATCTGATCAGTGGTGTCAATCCACGACGTGGGTCCCCCTCCTACAACAACACCCACATATGCCAAAAAACAATTCCGTGAAATAATAACCTACCTCTCTAGTTTATGCCCCCATTTTATAAACTTCCTCGAAGCGGAAAAAGCCAAAACTGAGCATTTCCCACACACGAGGGGGGGCTAAATTAGTTTGTACGAATTTTGACTTATGTGCCCACCCAAAAAAGGCTGTATTTGGTGGTATCGGTGATTTGACGTGCGTTGAACTGTGAGCATAGTCCCATCCCGCGCCAAAGTTTCCACCTTTCTTGGGGGTAGGTCGAATAGAAGTCCAACCTTTGAGGGCTGGGTTTTTGGGTAATCCATAGAACACTTATATAAGAAGAGATTTATTTATTTCCACCGGGGGAGGTTTAATGCGCCGATCGAAACTATTCATTGGGTTTCATTTAATTTATTGGGTTTTACTTACTTTTTTATTTACTTTCCTGTATTTTTATTGGCTGGGTGCGATAATGGGTGGGAGAGGGCCGCCGGGTCATTAAAAGAGGGTTCGTTGAGTGATGAGGAGGCATCGCCGTCCCTCTCTTTGAGAGAGAGAGAGAGAGAGAGGAGGGAGAGAGAGGGAGAGCGACAGAGAGATGGGAGGGGGGGAGTTGGAGGCTCACCCCTTCTTTTTTTAAAGTCCCTCTGCCCCTTCCCAGAGTTGATGGGTCATTTATAATTAATATTATCAGATCCCAACTCATTAATTAAACTCCCTCTCTCTCTCTCTATCTCTACACAGATTACGTCACGGCGTGGGGGGTGCCGACAGCCCGAGCTGGTGATGGGCCCCGCATTCTTAAAGAAGAACGGGCTTAGCTTGTCCGAAGTGGTAAGTGGGATTTCGAGGTTGGTGGGGCCCACAACGGGGCTTATTTATAACAATAAATAAAACTATCGGTCCCCTCTTTTCTTACCCTAATTTATACTGACGATCTCGAGCCGTCACTTCGTTGGCCCCAGCTCTCGGGTTTGGACCCCTTCGAGGCCGAATTGCAGAATACCACAGATAGCAGAACAAGGGCTGACCTGTTATCGATAGACACTTGGCCCACTTAACGAGGCTCGGTCCCGATATCAGAGGGCCCATTTGGCCCATTAGATCCAAGCACCGACATGGTTCGTCCTCCATTATAGCGCCCAATAAATAGGCGCCATTTTATCTGGGGGAAATCAGAGAATTTTATTTTTCCTTCGCCGGCGAGAAGGAAAAATCGCGAAGAAAAAGGAAACCCAAAAATTCGTGAATGTTTGACTTTTTTCCTGGAAGAGTCTTTCATTTCTGCTGCTGAGCGTTCATCCTGTTCCTCATGAAATAGAGCTTTGCCTTCCGGACGTCCTTCTTGTCCGGCAACTTCATCTCCTTGATGTTCGGGGAGTACCTGACCATGAATAAATGAATGAATGAACGAAGAACATCAGAAAAATGTTCCGGAGAGCATGGTTTTCCGCATTAGAACGGACCCAAACGAAGCGCCACGATTAGATCATATTTGTACTAAATGTCTAATCTCATTAGATAAAAATAGATCATTGGAGCTTTCAAGATCCAAATGAGAAAAACGATTTTTCTGATTGAGTAGTCGCAAGAGACTGGAAGGAGGGGGTTGATAAAATGGTGCCAAAACTGGAGTCGACCCATTCAGTGATTATGTATTTTAGCCAAATATTCGAAATTACTAGGGATGCTTTCATTGATTTATTTTTTTTAAAGTCATCTCATATTTCAAGCTGATTCAGAAGAATATACCTACTTTCTCAGGCTAAGATGATCCCAATAAAAGACTAGCTGACTCGTGAAGACCCAACCCAATCTCAGAGATATCGCACTCAATATAAAACAATGGATCTCAATAATAGTTACATCACAGCCAAAACCTCATTCTCTTATAAGGTTTACAAATCCTTCAAGCAGTCTACCATCTTCTGAACTGCTTTAAACAAACATTATCAGGTACTAATTGATGATGGAAATTAGTCATTAATTAATTTTCACAAACAGAAAAAGAGCATACCCTCATTTTCATGTACTTCAAACAATGACCAAATATCATACTAATGTAGATTGTACACTCGTCTCTTTCAAAAACATTATCAATACGAGTTTTTGATCTAAAATAATAATTAACTATTATTCACGAACAAGAAAAACACATATCCTCATGTTCACATACAACGAGGAATTGCAAAGATAAACCCTAGACCACATCTCATATTCATTTGGATTGTACAGTCATCAATTTTCAAAAAGTTATCAGGTCTAGTTTTTTATTCAAAATAATAACTAACTTTTTGCAGGAACAGGAAAACTGCAAATCATCATGTTCACATGCTATGAACAACTGCAAAGATAAATCCCAGACCATATCTCATATTCATTTGGATTGTACAGTGATCACCCACATGTAGCAGTCAATACACCACAAACTCACCGAGGATGAACCAAGGAACTACAGAAAGAACCATAATGTGTCAGGATCAGTCATTTGTGTTTGGCTGAAAATGCATATGGTGGGATGAGAATCCTTTCCTTATTACTTTTCTGGCCACCTGTGGATACTATTATTCATCACGTTTATGGCTTTGGCTACTTGCCTTCAGCAACTAAACAGCCGGTGGTGGCTTCCCAGAGCCTAATTTTAATGGTATCCGAGTGATGAATGGACATCCTGTCTAATTGATTCACTATGTTGCAAATGTTTTGAAGTAATGTCTTCATAACTGCAAAAATACTTCCTAATATTTACTCTCTAATTTTGTTTTATAAATATTCGTGAGAAGTGAGACAGCCAGCCAAACTTACAGTGGGAAAACAGACTCCGTTCCTACACCTGCTACCATTCTTTGTAGTCCGTAATGTGGTCTGCAGGCCAGTATTGTGGTCATCAATCACAATGCCCTTCAATATTGACACCCCGTAATCAGAAAACCATAAAAGATTTAAGTTCATGACCGTATATTACCCTCGTCACTAACCAAATGGAATTATCTGTGAGGCCACTAGCCAAAGCCCAATAGTCCCCATCCCTTACTAAATGAGGGAATCAGGGAGAGTAAGCTAGC